ATAAAGTTCGAGCGATGCTAAATACCGTTATTAAGTACCATCCACCCACGCGATTTCTCAACCCCTATGTATAGCAATACAGCTTCCTTTCACGGTAATCTCCGCACGACGTTTCACCCTTTCAGCATGGCCTCCTTTCGAACGTCAGTAAACTACAGATAAAGCGCAGCCAATTCCACCCCTTACCACCCAACTCGCTATTTCGCCACCTTCCCACCACTCAATCTCGGCTTTACGGGGGCCCCAAGTTAAGATTCCGAAGCCATAGCTGTCTACGGTTAATCCAGCCAAGGATCTACGAAGATTCACCCTCCCTCGCTTCGACCTAAGCGCTATCCAACTAAATATTCGACGTATGTGTGCACTGTATAGCTTATATACTCGGGGTGTCTAGTTTAAAGCTAATGGAAGCGTTTCGAAACGTAAGCAGGGTAGAAAAATACTCCCCTGTTTCAGAGGGGTTGCGGGAAGTCACGGAGGAGAGAAACGGTGAGGAGCAGAAAGTTTTAGGTAGATCGTGTGTGTGCGCGTATGTAAAATTATTTGATATAAATTATAAGAAAGTTATTATCTTATTGCTCAGTCATCTTGCAGTAATATCCATCGATATAGCTAAATTAAATTTCACGTACGCTAGAGTGATCAAAGGTAATGGTTTAGTAAGTTACGTGAAGCGAATAACACAGTAAGTTTCTTAATTGATTGAACACTTTCTTAAATAGTGTAATAAGTTCCAATAAATAAATGATGTATAGAAATAATATAAATAATATTTTTATCATAGGATATTACGATTGGTTATGTAAAATTCTAAATTTTATTTATTCTTTTTGAAAATAATATGAATTTAATTTGTTTCCCTGATTATAGAAATAGTTTCACGTTGCTTGTTGTAAATATCTCGCCCTATTCTCGTCCTAATTGCTGCTCCCTTATTACTATTACGACTTTACGTAACACTTCTGCTTATTAAATGTTACGGTTATTGTTACGAGCATACAGCTAAGACAAAATTAAGAACCGGGTTGTAAGATGTAATTAAGGATGAATTAAAAGTAACTAACCATTATGCAATGTAATAGTGTTCAGAAAAATGAAATTTCTACCCGACAAATTTCTGCTATAACAATTCTATTTTTAGATATTCCATCGATGGTAAGTTCGTTTCTTTGCAAACATTCCCCAATGAAACGTTTTTACAATAATTCCTTCTACGAAAATCAACACTTGGTTTCATATTTTTACTCCAAAAGAATATTATTAATCAAAGTAATACCATAATTTCTGAAAAAATTAACATTCAATTATCTACTTTTGTTTCAGAAAAATTAAAGCAATCAAATAGCATCCTTGATAAACCAGTTCCTCTTATGAACAAGACCACTTCTTCTAATCACAGATTATTAGAATATATCAAACTAATCCTCGAAATGGACTGGACGAGTCAGTAAAGCGAATGGACCGTGCTCCTATTTGTCAATATAATTTTTCCTGTGAATTGAGCCCCAATCGGATGTTAAACGAGGTTCTCAAAACTTAGCCCAATATGATTAGACGAATAAATAGGAATTATATCGTGAAACGAAGCAACGAAATTTAATTATTTGAAAATGTAATCGAAAGATAAGAGTCATAGCTAACGTAGTTATATTTACGTGGAAAATTTCATTTCTTGGCCCACGTTGTTCGAACTAAGGAATCAGAACAAGGTATACTTGATTATTTCACGGGGCAAGATTATAAGTGTTTGCTGTGACTTAATTGATATTTTCCCTGGATCTTTAGCAAGATTGCCTTCGACGTTCACTTAAATGATTCTGGAGATAGATAGACTAATTTAAACTTAATTTGTGGCAAATTATTATTGGAATAGATGTTTATAAAATATAAAATTTGTTTGAGCAATTCTATGGTGGAAGGTACAAATTTAAATAATTTGGTAATTGTATTATCATTCAAATTTCAATGAGCATGGATGATATAAAATATAGAATTAAAGTAGAATTGTTTAATTTAGGATTCGTAGAACGAAACAATAATCCATTCGTTTTTTTTTTGTCTTGTCTTTATGTTTGGAACTTTCAATGCAAAAACTATACTATTGAAAGACAGATGAAATTTTTGAATATATCTTTGATTTTTATCTTTGATTTTATTTTAAATTTATACTACTTTACATAACATCTGATAGATTCAAATTCAGTCACAAGAGATGTTTGGAAGGGATATCTTCAGAATGCATTTGGGATTAGTGTCAAAGTAGAAAGGATCTATTTCTACTTTGAAAGTCAAATTTGGATTTACTATTTCATAAACTCAATTTGCTTTCCTTTTTATAATATTTGGTAGAAAGGTGTAGATTATTTTTATCGCAAAAAGATCACTCGTTGCATTTTTAGTTGAAAATCTTACTAAAAGTTAGTTCAAGTTAGTAATTAGGTTAGATTTCTAGGTCAAAGAAGAGACAATAGAATGCTCTCGAATCAAAAAGCTCTCAAAGTGTTGTTCTAGCAAGACATCTAATTCCACTCTAGTTTTTTAATTGACATTCAACTCCGTGGAACAAAACTTAATAAATTACTCACCTATTGCGCAACATAAATAATTTACAAAATTTCTCAAAAACGAAGAGGATTACCATCGAATCATTCCTTCCATACCAACTCCACGCTTCATTAATCCATTACTAAAACTTCAAAGAACAAATTTTCAACTCTTTTCGAAACACACTCATGAAACTCTGTCCAAAAGATAGAAAACTTTCCTTCGAACGAAGATCTACGATAAACGTACGAAATCTATCGAAGCCCAATAGACAACAACGACAACAATAGAGTAACCCCTGTATACCCGCGGGCTATTAGAAAATTAATCGAAACAGGCGGATTATTAGGAAGCAATACGCGCTGATAAACCGGATCCGCGTAAACAAGAGATTAACACGAAAATTTAGAACATATTAACGCATAATACGATTCCGTTCCGCGCAGCTGGAAGGGGTAAGCAGTAACAAAGTTACACACAGTCTGTCAATTTGCCAGTGCATCCAACGATGCACCGTGCAGCGCACGGTACACGTGGCAACGCGCGTACGGACTGCCATTATGCCGTAATATAGTCTCTCGAACCGGCCTTAATGCCAGATATCCCCCTACGAAATTGTACAGGATTATGCCCGATAGGGATGGTGGGAGAGAGAGGGAGAAAAGGACACAGCGCACCGGTTGCAAACGTTCTCTGGCCACGTTGCTACTGCAAAGCTATTAACCTCGGACTGGCCTCTCGAAGAGACAGGGCTAACGGCACCGCCGACTCTCCATTGTCCAATTTCGTCGCGATCTATTGCCCGGCCCTCAATTATAGACTCTCACTCCACCCTCCTCCGTTGTTATTTCCTGTATTATTCGCGTGTCCAATGGCACGAGCTCTTTCTTATTGAAAAAGTTGCGGGCCAGAACGATTGCCTCATCGTGATTCGTCTTTCGAGACGTTCCACGAGAAACTCGATCGTGATCTCTTAATTTTAGCCGTTTTGCTAAGCTACGTTTTTGTGACCTTTTTGGATTTTGTAAAAATTTCATCGTATCTTTGAGACAAGAGGTTATTTTTCACTACGATATGATTTTCAGTTCAGAAAAATCTGAGAAAAATAATCTCGATAAAGGAAACTTTGGATATCATTAAAGCATCGATAATTCTTGCGAATATTTCGGAATAATTCAATTTTACCGAGAATCAGAGTGTGCAAATACCTTTCCTGGCTGGCATAAGTGTATTGAAAACACGGTGGCCAAATGATCGATAGGAAGAGTAACCACAGGTAACACGTGGCGTTGTTCAGCAAGCTTGAGGAGACATTGGTCAAACAGTCGCAAACATCACGCATGCGTTATTGCAGTGTTATTAACCTCGACAGACACTCCAAGAGATGATGCGTCAGACACCGTGTCCATAGTCCAATTTCATCGCAATCTATCGTCTGATCCTCGATTGTGCCTACGTCACTGTTCTACACCATATCCGGCATACTGTATTGTCCACGTTTATTGTGCTCGATCTATGCCTCGCGCAAACGTTCTATATCATCTTCAATTACACACTCTTCCTTTGATCGCACGATGTTTCACGCTTTCTCAACGGTCATCAAAAAATTTTCGAATATTTTAAATAATTAAATCTTATATCTTTCAAATTTCAATTCTTCCTGTACATATCACTTTCTTCTTCTTATAATTACAGTGTAAATTTTGTTTATTGAAAGTTCTTTTGGATTATTACTATTTTTTTAAGTATAAAATTGTCTCTTAATAAATAATAGTATATAGAAAATTATGCAATTTCCATTGATCTCAATTTGGTAAAAGTTTTTCAATTTTATCCAATAAAATTGTTTTAAAATAAACGGAAAGGTATTATAAAAAGAATAATGGAGTTCGAAAAGTTTATAAAACTTCGTCGCTCAAGAACCTTGTGATAATAATGTGGCATTAATAGAATTATGAGATTTATATTTCATTTTTTATTTTTTATTTCAACACGTTTAACAAATTCTTTACTTTGTTCGACCAACTATTATAAAATAAAAGATATCAATTATACAGTAATGATTACACAAAAAAAAAATAAAATAGATCACAACAGATGAAAGTTACAAATCTCTTAGATTATTCCTCTTAAAAAAAAACTTATATCTTGACAAAAACAAATTTCAAATAGATCATCGTCGAAAGAAGAAGAAAAACGAATGAAAGAAATAAAATTCATTCTCCATTAATGCATTTAATTCATTATGCCGTCACATTGTTTATTAAGAACAATACGTAGAAAAAGGACATAAAGATATTACGTTCGTACAAAGGAAAGGGAATGCAATTATCCACGTGGTGGATATACAACGTATGCGTCGACACTGCAAAGCTATTAACCGAGTAGACAAGCTTCTCGCCATGTCCATAGTTTACCCCTGTCGCAATCTATTGCCGAACCCTCAATTATATGCACCCACGTCATTGCTCTCTAGCTGTTTCCTTTGTATCAGCTCGTTTATGTCAGTCACGCGATAATTACTTTCGCTCTTTTTGCATACCGTTATGTAACGAATAATTATGCATCGGGTAAATTCATCCCCCTCCCCTCAAATTGTATCCGGAGATTATTATTAAATGTTCCTACAATTCTAACTGGATCCATGCAATAATGCTTCTTTCAAAACTAGTGAAACAATCTTCAAAAAAAATTAGTCGAGCAGCTGGATTCTATTATATTACACAAATAATCAGTGTCAATTGAAATCAGATTAAAATTCTGAAGATACAGAAAATATTTCCTATTAAAAATTATTTTACAAAGAAATCGTACGTCGAATCAAAAAATTTCAAACTCAATCGACTTAAAATCCCTGATTTTCTTCAAAAATAAGAAAAATTACTTTAGATTTCTAAATCTCAAGTCGCTACACGTTCTACGGAACTGAAAAATTCAGAATCGAAAAGAAAAAAAAAAAAACAAAATCAAATCTTCCATTTCTTAGAAACTCTTCTCTCAGAGAAAATATTTATCGAGCGATACAACAGTCACTCAGAGTATCTCATCTCTCCATGTCGTCAAAGTCGAATAAAACTCGGTTATGAAATCGCGAGAAATACGAAGATACGTAATTATATTCACAACTTTTCATTTTCTTCTCGCGGACAAGAATGCGGGATGTTTGTTGAATTAGAGTTTACGAGACGGTATCCCCGAAGACCAACAAGTTGGAAAGTAGCGGAGGTTCTTTCATATTTCCCCGACCATATTTCTCGAGTAATTTTTTTCTTTCTTTTTATTTATTTTTTTTTTTATTTAGCTCCTTTTCTATTCATCACTGCCAAGCGGACTACAGTGATCTTATGTGGTACAGGTGGTACTCGGTCGACACGAGATGTACACTTCACGGCGTCGTATTCAGGTACGTTCGCTTTAAAACTTGCAACAACTTTTTATTCTCAAAGTGGCAGTTATACCCGCCGCCTCTTATACTCTAGCACGTTTTGTTTCGCCTATTTAGTACCGCCATAACAGGAGCTGAGAACTTTCTAAATGAATTATAAAGCTTCTTTCGGTGAATCATTGGATTACCTCGTGGAACTTTCGAATGTTTTGTTTTCGTTTTGCTTTTTGTACGAATAGAGAGATTCGTAATCACAATTGTTGCAAGATAGATAATGAGAAATTCGTGTAATAAATATTAAAGACTACTGCATACTAGATACGTACAAGAATGTATATATTGAAATATTTAAGAGTATTTATTTTATTGTTGTATTTGAAACAGAAATTTCTTAAAATTTAGATTTTTAATTATTCGTGAATATTTCGTTGGTAATTGTTAATTTTATTTTCCCCGAAAAAGATCATTAATTCGTAGCCGAATTATCTTATAAAACTTGTAAATTTTATGTTAGCATATGAATTACTTCGCGGAAATAATTTATTTATTTATCGGCGTTATCATTAAACCGGGGAAATTTCAATGTATGGAGCAATGTATTACGCTGATTATGCTTATAAAATCATAAAAATGAAATTTAATCCTATTTCCGTACGGGAAATCAATTTTTAGTGGCTGATTGGATTACTTTGTAAAACATTGCAACGTTTTACCGTTAAAACATATATGCATATGCATGACGTGAAATTACGTCAATGAATATGACGTGAAACAATATATTACGCTCTTTATGCTTGTAAAATGGTAGAAACAAATTTTCCTGATATTTCCTATAAAATCCATGAATTAAAAGCTATTAAATTTAAAATTAATGGAAACTTACAAGTACAACAAACATACAAGAAAAATGTTTGTTCTTTTTTTCCTTTTTGTAAATACGAAATAAGTAAAAAAATTTTGAAAAATTTGAAGA